ACTCGTTTATTAAAAGAAAATTCAAATAATTATTACCTTAAAGAATGGAAACCATTGATGGACTATTTGCAAAATGCAGGCAGGGCGAAGCTTCCATGGGGATTTGCAGACTAGATTATAAATGTAATGGGATGTGTTTTGACAAAGAATTATTCCTACTTAATGCATTAAAAACTAGCACTTATGACACTCTTATAGAAAATTCAAATAATTATTACCTTAAAGAATGGAAACCATTGATGGACTATTTGCAAAATGCAGGCAGGGCGAAGCTTCCATGGGGATTTGCAGACTAGATTATAAATGTAATGGGATGTGTTTTGACAAAGAATTATTCCTACTTAATGCATTAAAAACTAGCACTTATGACACTCTTATTATTCTTAAGACCGGAGATAGATTGGAAGCTATCTATTTTTCATGTCTGTCTTTTCTTTATCTCACTTTTTCTTTTCCTTTTCTTTATAATTTGTATTTTCAATTTTCTTTTTCATTTCTAAGTCTGTCTTTTCTTTATCTCACTTTTTCTTTTCCTTTTCTTTATAATTTGTATTTTCAATTTTCTTTTTCATTTCTAAGTTTTAACTTTGTAATCTTAAAATCTCAGTAAAATACTACTAAAAAAAAGAAGGTGTGAACTGGGGTCATCTGGTTCCTGTGGCTGTGTATAAACGTAGGGATCCAGAGGTTGGCGACAGTTGCCCGTTATGCTCCAGCAAAGGGCAATAATGGAAGAACCAAAGGTGAGTTTGGGGAAGAACTGTACAACATTTGGAAGGGGGTCCAGGGGAAAACATATTCTTTTTGGATGGGCGAGAACAAGATGCAGATGTACAGAAAAAGCGTTTGGGCCAACGAGACCCAAAGATGCACGAGAACCCTGATTAGCGTCTCTTTCTGTTCTGCTCCGAGATGGACTCTAGCTGGACTCTGGGCAGGTGCGGCCGAGGCCCCGGGGGTCAGTCTGGTGCTGCGGCCTGAGAGGGGTTTGAGTCGGTGCGGCCTGAGGCGGGCGGGGGTCTCTGCTCGGTAAGTTTGGCCACCTGTTTATTGCGCTCAGCCCCCCTGGGTTGTGAAGGCAGCCACAGAGGGGACCTGTGGTTGAGTCCACGCTGCAGGGTCGGGCTCTTCCTTCCTCTGGGGTGGGTATTGGTTGGGGGGGAGAGATCACGCCCTTGGCCCCTCCTGTGTGGGGTGCTGTGGGGTTCTACTCTCTTTCCCCCCTTTTCAACATCTACATCTGT